CTCTGCTTCACACACCTGAACTCCTCAGTATCAGCACCTCTCTGCATCACACACCTGACCCCCTGCCAGCAGTGACCTCCTCAGTATCAGCACCTCCCTGCATCACACACCTGACCTCCTGCCAGCAGTGACCTCCTCAGTATCAGCACCTCTCTGCTTCACACACCTGAACTCCTCAGTATCAGCACCTCTCTGCATCACACACCTGACCCCCTGCCAGCAGTGACCTCCTCAGTATCAGCACCTCCCTGCATCACACACCTGACCCCCTGCCAGTGGCAACCTCCTCAGTATCAGCACCTCCCTGCATCACACATGCAACCCCCTGCCAGCAGAGACCTCCTCAGTATCAGCACCTTGTCTGAGGTGTATGAATCAGCTAAAGAACTAACCCCAGTCGATTAATATGGGATCAAAACAGAACCATTAAACAGTCACAGGGTAACTTATGTGGGAACTTTAGCGATGTGTTTGGAAAATGTTTACTAATGAGTTACTTTAATTATGGCACTAATTACTGCACTAACTTCTAAGTAACTCACCTTCTACCAATTATTCATATTTTACTGAAACACTGTTTAAAGGTGCAACTGCAGTGGTCCACCACAACTGTCAGAGCATAGCTTTTTCTGTTGAACTGCACGGCACTGATATGTTTTACATCTGTATGTCAGACACTGGCAGGTATATGGTGAGTATTGGACTGTAGGCGCCCCCTTGTGGTTCAGGAATCAATACTGGCCACAGCTTAGTGACAAATTAAAATTTAACAGGGAGCTAATGGTACGCCCCAAAGCGCCATGCCACTCACACGGGGGGACATAAGGAGAGTTTTCAAATATTATTTAACAACCTTGACAATTGTACTGCCTGTTTTTTTTTATGTAAACCAAACTTGCAGCGTGTTTACAGTGTTTTGCCTGAAAAAGCTTTTCTCTACTGTTAAATAAGCAGCGTGTTGTTTTTAGTGTCACTAATAAAATTACATTACCACCTTCATCAACTGGCAAGAGAGAACCAGCTTTGCATCTGTCCAAATATGTGAAAAATGACTGGTGGATCGAAATCTAATTTATCTGGAAAGCTCAGGATAAGTGGTGAGATGTTTATATGAACCTCACTGGTCAAACTTTTTTCTCATTCAAATAAAATTTCAAATTCATCCCAAAATTCAGGAAGATCAGCACAGAGGAAATATTTTTTGTATGTTATGAACAACATCTATATTTTAATGGCTGTGATGCTGAGAGCAAATACCAAGCTATTGCAATTTTTTTTTACCATGTTTCTATGCTTGCTGTTACAATAACCTGCCATCCATCCATCTATCCATCCATCCATCCATCCATCCTCTAAGCAGCAGGAAAGATCAGTACTCATGTTTCCATCCTTGTTCCCTCTGGGTAACAGGCCAGAACACTCATCAGGATATGACACGACTTTTCCCCGTAGCGGCAGACATGCTTTCCTGAAAGACAGGATAGCGGCAAACATCTTAGAGGAACATGCAGGAATGCTGCTGCTGATGATGTGTATCTCATTATGAACCGCTCTCAAAAACAGTGCAGCATTTGCATTGTTACATCTTTAATGTATGTTCACAATGTGGGTCAAAGCACTATTTTAGCTTTCATGAAATATTCAGCTGAAAGATCTGAAAGTTTACACTCCCCAAGGCATCATGAAAACATACCAAATAAAGGCAGAAAAAAAACTTTAAAGCACACAGATTGGGTGTTTGATATCACAGTATCTGGACGTGGATGGATGGATGGATGGATGAATGACTCAGAAATGACCTTTGAGTTGGGGCACGCCTGACAACAAACGCTGGTACACTTTCCTTTACTAGGTGGGTCCATTTGTGCTGTGTGTAATAGAAAAGGGGGCCTCACTCACATCAGCTGTCAGCTCAGCATCACATTATCTGACTGGTGGGAATAGAGCAGAACATAAAACTCTGCTACAGTGGATTACAGACCGTAACAGCTGCTAAGGGGATAGAATGGCGTGAAAACAGCCACAGCGATTCACGGACATGTGAGTTTCTCTGTCGGACTCTTTCGACCTGATTATGGGCGAAGAAGTAAAGGACACCACTTTTCTGGGGCCACTTTCAGGCATGAGAAAGATTGCCCTTGGACTACATTTTATTAGTAATGGCCAATCCCGTCCACGGTCCACCGTGGAAAACAAAGGACTCCCCTCTGCGTGCTTAAGAAGTATATGAATGCGAGCAACAGCCCAGAGCAGATCAGACAGCATGAGGCCCCCGCCTGAGCCCCTTAGCCTTTCCTGTTATTCATCTAAGCATGTTTAATCACATCTGTGCAGCTGGGCAGCCGGCATGCGGGCGTGTTGTTTTTGGAGGGGACATCGACCGGTGGGCCGCCCCCACATCAGTGCCAAGCATAGCTGTATACACAGCAGTGGGAGAACCCGACCTCTACGCAGCTACCACCCATCCA